AAACTATAGAGATTCAACTCACCAGACTACATCTAACCTACCGTTCTCCACAAGACGTCTCGGAATTCTCATGGCTTGCTCATGAAGCTGGATAATGAGCTAAAGTACGTCATGCCATGTTTGACATTCCCGGAGTTCTACATAAAAACGACGTTTTTCTTCAACATGTCTTTTTCATCTTTTATACCTTGATTTCTAGTTATACCCCCGAATTCCTGAATGGATCTCTGCTTTCTCTTATTGACCTTTGTGGCTACTGTTATCAATGGAATAGTAATGTCCAAAGGCTGAAGGAGTTGTTCCAACTCACACCACTCAAGATCTTCGATGTCGCCATCTTCATACTTCACCCTGAACCAACCAACTTCCCCATCAAATTCAATAACTTTCCCATAGTAATACTGGTCCCCAAACAACTTGCGAACTTCTCTTCCTACAAGCCATTGACCAAAACTAGAATTCTTATGTGATTCTGCATCAGTAACTATTGGACAGGGAAAATTGACGTCAGCATTTGAAGAAACAAGAGGCAACCCATTAATAACAACAGCTGGCTCTCCAGGTATCTCAAATACTCCAGGTGCTAAAAACTCCTCCACGTCACTTTCTTTGCACGGAAAATCCATTTACAGCAGTCCTTCCAATCAGCCCTATGAGTAGATGACCAAGTTTCTGTTATACAATGGAGCTTCGCACTAACAAATAATAAAAAATTAAACCGAAACATCAATAAATACGGAAAGAATAATCACAACACTTGATAATCGCAATTCAGATCCTTTTCAAAGAAAAACTAGAGGAAAACAGAGAAGATAATTCAATTAACCAATAGCCAGTTAACAGCAAACATGCCATTTCAAAACACTATTATGACTGCTAGATTCAGAGCAGCTTTAGCAAGTATACGACTAGTTGACAATAAATGAAGAAGTTTAACGGCATGAGGAAACAAAATATATAACCATAACACTCTTCATTTACCTTGCGGATTAATTGCCAAGAAAATAATTTCTTGTATATTTTTTATAAAAATATGAATAAGATTATGCAGACATTGGACACTTGCTACCTGTTTGTATGTAAAAACACAATAGTAATACTGATGGCAACAGTTCCTTCCCAATATAGAAGGAAAAAGATTTAAAGCTGTAACTACATTGCTAATATGTTACTCGCTTGGTCAGAATTTTTCTCTCTTTATCATTCTTATTTATTATTTATTTGCAAATTTAAGAAAAATCCTAAACTACCAAAGCCACGCAGTAAGTGAAAAGAAAATCAATAAAACTACCTCATTCCACATTTTACATTGTATCTTTACCAAAAGAAGAGAATAAACTGAAAGAAACAACACTATCAAAGTCGGCAGGATATGCAACATTGCAGCTATTCACTAGAGAGCTAAACTATCGACAAAAATATTATTATTAGTGCTAGGGGTTCCAGAAATCCACGTTATCAATGCACTTGCAGACTATATAAAGGGAAAATCGTAAAAGGCACTATAACATTGAACGATTAAGTTATTCACAGGTAACTCTGAACACCAAAGCGACACAGTAAGCGAAAAGAAAATCAATAACTCTACCTCATTCCACATTTTACATTGTATCTTTACCAAAAGAAGAGAATAAACTGAAGAAACAACACTATCAAAGTCAGCAAGATGTCTAACATTGCAGCTATTCACAGGAAAGCTAAACTCATCGACAAAAATATTAGTAGTATTAGTTACTACTAAATTTGACCATCAAGTTCACTCTGTACTAAAAGATAATCTTTACAACAACAAAAATATACACGGAGTAAGGTGGGGTCTGGAGAAGGGGAGGATGTAAGTAGACCTTCGGCTCAAATAACTCATAACAAAGCAATGTTAAAAATAGCATATAGACGCAAAGCAGACATAACAAATAATAACGGAAATCATTACGTAGCATTCAAAAAAGGCACAATACCAACATCAAAATAATTTGATAACCGAAACAAAGAACAATATGTATTAACAGAAATCAGAAACCGAGTGGGCAGAAACTACGAGATTAGTGCTAATGCTAGTTTAATTAATTGGAAGTTTAGTACTATAAAACAAAGCACAACATAGCAGATAAACATTTTCCGCAGAAATGTTCACACACTAATACCAAAAAAAAGGCGGATTAAGAAATAGGATTAGATCACTAAACTGAAAGGTTAGTACTAATTTGAAACCGTTAATCGCACAAAAAGCAATTGAAGTAAATTAACAATTCGTCGTGCCTGTTAATAAAATTGACAGGGGAAGGGGTTTAGGGCATTCGAGTTCATGAGAGAATAAGAAGATCATGCGTGAATTGGAACTCACAATTAATATTATTAACCGGAAAGTGATGGACAAAGAGTTCGCCGGAGAGAAAAAGGTTGAATTTTGACGCCGGAGAACGAGTTCGATGACGGCCGGCAAATTCTGGAATTTTATCAGATGAACTTTATCCAGTCAATTTGCGGTCTTATTATGTTAAAAAGGCAAATATGGATAAAAATTTATTGTTAAATCATTTTTTATGGATGAAAATGAAAATGGATAATTAATTAATTTCAGTAATTAGTGTAAAGTGATTTTTTTTAATCTTTAATTATTTACCTGTGTCTTAATTTTAGAATAATTTATGACAAGGACAAAATTGAAAGGAAATAATTAATTCTCTCTTAATTTTTTTAAATTGATAAATATTTAGGAATAACTATATTTAGAATACATTGTAACTACTTCAATTATTTAGTTCTTGTTACCGGTTATAATTTATAGGTCATAATCATGTAAATAAGAAATTATGATATACGAGATTAAACTGAAAATGTATTAATGTAATTCTACAAATAATCTAGGATAACTAGTGTACTTCTTATGATTTATTTGGTACTTTTTCATAACGACGATAAAAAGTTAAATATATTTTTATAGATGTATAGCAAAGTACTCTCATAATATGTCAGGCACACTACTTATTTATTCAGTATGAAAATGATGCAAGAAAATATTGGAGAATATATTTTTCCTTAGCTTGCTGAAGTTTGGAAGTACTTCCTTATGTGTGAGTAAGAAATGTTTAAAATTTTGTTATTGGGGCAAATCCATCCATAAAAGGTGTTCATTATATTGTTATTGACCTATATTAGTTGACCGTCCTCCTAAAACTTTACTGATATATCATGTAAATATACCATTATAGGTGTAGGGATTATATAAGGTTATTTTCCTAATGTTTCGAATGAAAAAAATAGATGATTGGATTAGCTATGTACAAAAATGCATACCTTGCATGAGTGAGTCCAGAGGCGGAACCAGTATTAAAAGTTTGGAGGTTCTAAATTTCCTTTCACTTCTTTAACATTGAGTTGTCAATCAATTTAGTTAGGACTACACAAGTTATTACTTAATTTTCTAGTAAAAATATAAAATCTATGAAAAAGCTATTGGATTCGTCTGAACTCATGAACCCCACCTAGCTCCGCCCCTGCTTGCATCTTCTAGAGAATATTAAATTATATTGTGAAAATCAAAAAATTATTTGTCTTGTAATTATTTCTATTGAAATGAAATTCAAGTTATAGTTGAAAGAGATCCGTTTTTACAAGAAAAAAAACTTTTGTAAATTTCCTAAACTAGGTATTTTCATTGAAATGTTACATATAGTACATCTAATAAATTATAAATTTGTTTGTATGGACATTAAAAGTAATAGTTCATATAGCAATGACATTGATTTATTTCTTTATCAAATAATTAAAGCTATATTTTGACTATGATTTCCGCTCAAATTATTATCATCTCTATGATATTGTCATTATATTCCAAGAGTGGGGAAATACATTTTATACTCTTCTGCTTGTTCTTTTACACCTTATTGTTAACAGAGATAATGATAATAAAAATAAAAAAATAACACAAAAATAATCGTTCATCAAAATTATAATGAGAAAATATGTAATTTTTATATATTAATGTATAATATACATAAAATATATTTTTATATTATACTTAATTAATGAGTATAATTATATTAATGGATCGATCAAATATGTAATTTGTTCGTGATAATAAAGGATCGTATTGTTGAAGTTGTTTAAACAAGACACTAGCTTGTGGACATTATATTCCTAGCCACTCCATTCCATTCTACTCAACCAACCTCACATCCCTATATGTCCCACTAACACATTATATTGTCCCACACACATATAATTACAGGTATGACGTGATGGAAATGATTTATTCTTAATCAAAAATCTTAGATTTGAGCTCTAGATATGGGGAAAATTTTATTTGGAACGTCATCCTATATTGCAGTGCGTGATTCGAATCTAGTCAAAAATTTATTATAGTGCGTGATTCAAATTTAATCAAAAATTTATAGGACTATAGGTAATCTTTTTACGCAATTTCAATTTATACAACTTGATTAATTTCATTCTCAAATGTACCATTATATAGTCTTGAACTACAGTTGTCTTGTTTTTCCTCCTCTCGTATCTCTTTCATATGTGGCCATAATTTTGTTATACAACTTTTCTTATAGTGGTTGTTTTGGTCTAATGCAATTTGTTTTGTTGCTATTTTTAAGATTTGATAATACTTTTTTAGTATTTTTGGTAAATAAATCTTTTTCCAACGCGCTGTTCCCTAAATTTAATAAGAAAATAAAATTTGTTAGCATCTATATCTAATGAAAACTTAGAAGTGTTCACATTTTAAATACATTAAAAGACCAAAAATGTTCAATAATATATTTGAAAACCTATCAAAAGTCCCAAATATTTTCTTTAATTCTAAAATGTCTATGTTATCCTTAATGAATATAGCTACATAAACGTCTATGATTTATTTCAAATTACAAGTTTAATTCTTTATTAAATTTTGTATTGAATTAAATTATATCATATAAATTGGGACAGAGATAGTTAAATTGTCATGCATGATTTAGTCAAACACACGCCCTATATATAAACCCCACACTTTCACCAAAAACTCAATTCCTTTTACCACCAATAATGCACATGATCCCATAAAAATGATGGAACATCAAAAATCCTTAGAAGCCATAGTCATGGAAGTTCTTTCTACCCTAACCCCTCTTCAACTCACAAAATTCACCCACCACTTCTCCTCCCTCTACCACCACAACTGCCACCGTATTTTCTCTCTCCTCTCTTCTCCCACCCTCTTCTCCCTCACTCTCCACCACCTCAACTCCCTCTCCCTCCACCGTAAATCCCTCCTCATCGCCCGCCACCTCTTGTCTAAACTCGCGATTTTAGCCTACTTCGTGGAGAAAAACACGATTCTACTACCATCACCATCAATCACTACCATGAGTCTTCGGGATGTGGATGCGGTTTTGATGCTCTTACTATTATGTGAATTGCGCCAACATGAACCTGGGGCGTTGCACAACGCCCCACTATCGTGTTGGCGCAATATTCTTCGTGACTATATGGCTAAGGACATGTTGAAACTATCCGGTATTGAAAGTTGTAGTAGTGAAGTGATAATCAAGTTCATTGAGCTAGTGGCTAAGTGCAAGAATTTTGTTAATGTCATGGCTTGCGATGGTGGTGACCAGGGGCGGAGCTATGGGTAAAAACATTCTCTCCCCCATCAATATATATACACGTTAATCGTATTAATTTATATGATGTTGCTTGACTGAACATAAATTTTAAAAAAGAATTTTATGGTCTAAAACAACTCATAGATCGATATTTTTGTACGGTGAAATTAACCTTTTAAAGTTAAATGGTTAAAGAATGTAAATATATGTTATTCTTTTTAATGTTGACCAAGAAGAAAATTATGTCATACTCTCTCCGTTTCAAAAAGAATGACCTTCTTTTTTTTTAGTTTGTTTCAGAAAAAATGACCTCTTTCCTTTTTTGGTAACATTTTACTTTCAACTTTCCACGTGAAATGTTTAAGACCACAAGATTAAAGGATAATTTTGTACATTTGACATAACTTTAATTTAGGGCCACAAGATTCAAAAGTCTTCTTTATTGTCTTAAACTCCGTGTCAAGTCAAACTAGGTCACTCTTTGTGAAATGGAGGGAGTATAAATTAAGACGGAGGAAAAAAATATTTACTTGTCACACGTAAAATGTTGTACTCCTTGACATAATTAAAAAGAATCTTTGAGTAACACAACACGTTCAAAATCCTAATATTTTTTCATTTGTTAGAATTTCTGACTCCGTCACTGATACTGATGAACGTAAAGACAAGAAGAAGTTAGCGGCATCCGTGGCGGTGGTGGTGTCGTTGTCGTCATCTAACGGTGGTGGAGATGATCAATGTGTGATATGTAAAGAAGACATGAAATTAGGGAGAGATGTTTGTAAATTACCATGTGATCATTTTTACCATTGGAAATGTATATTGCCTTGGTTGAAGAAGACAAACACTTGTCCATGTTGTCGGTTTCAGTTACCGTCCGATGATGTTTTTGCTGAGATCCAACGGTTGTGGGATGTTCTGGCTAAGATTAGTGGTGGTGCCACGTAGTTAATTAATTGCAGCCAGAAAATTAAATTAGTGGATTAAATTGTAGTAGCTATCTTTTTCAGCTTATCAATAATCCAAAAAAATATCTGTACAAAATTTATTGTTACAAGTGGAGTACTCTTTTTTCCACTTAGAACACGTGGCAAATGCATAGATATACATGTTTTGTCTTAGTCAATCATGAGTTGTGGACTTAGACCGAAAGCCCGACACGAATCGCAAGCGCGTAAGCATAGATTTTCTGTTTCAGCCTTCTTTAGCCACTTTCGCATCTATCGTATTTGGAAAAGTTTATTTCATGGCGGAACATTTAGCAATGTCAGCAGATTGGCGAGGGGTGTCTGAGGATAGGTTAAGGCAGTGCCTGCTGGACTTGAAATATCATGAGCAGCAGGATGTTGAGGTCCGAAGTAGGGTCACTCTTTGGTTTATAAAGATCTTGTAGTAGCGGATTTAGATGAAAAATTATATTGTATATATAAAATAAAAATTATATTTTGTAATGAATATGTATAATATATGCTAAAGTTTATCATTATATGTGAATTTGGGAGTTTAATTGGTTTAAATGCGAATAGTTAGGATTAATCTGGATTTAGTAGAAAAATATAACTGTGGATTATTAGTCCATTAAGGATATAAATGCCTCCGCTTTTATTACGACGAGGATTTAAATTTGTGCAAATTCTTAACGGAAGGGAAAAAATGTTCATTGTTGGATAGTAAAAAAGGCAATTTTAATCTTTTTCAGTTTAAAACTATAGACTATTAATTAATAAAACATCAGAGATTGAACTTATAGAATTTATTCTAATTGCGTCTCTAAGAGCACATCAATGGATTATCTTATAGATTCAAACGAATTCAAAAGCTTTTTGATGAATAGATCTTATATTTTATATTTAAAAAATTATTACATATATATATAAATATACTGCGAATCCAATTACTAATAACGTTGAATATTAGATGAAAAGGAATAAATATAATGGATTAACATGGAAAATGTGTAATATATTAATAGAGGTAAAGCAATGGGAATCACTCGTTCTTGATAACGTACTTCGTTGACTCTTTTGCTTTGTGGCTGAGCTTATGTGTTTAGATATACGCTAGATATTCATTTTAATCTGTGTAATGATATTTAATTAAACATAATTTTTAGTGGATATAAATCGTCTATAATAGGTATACTAGTGATTACTATATGTGTATTAATATTAATTTAATTTGGGTTATTATAAGATTCACATCAAATATCATATATGCAATTTTATATCGTCAATCGAAAATTTAGATGCTAGATCAATAGTTATATTTTATTAGTAGGAATTTCTTGCGTATGATTTTTCCTTATGGACTTTTTCTTTAGTAAGTTTTATATGGTGAAATTTTCAAAGCAGATGAGATAAATTTGTATAATTGATGTCTTATGTTTATAGGAGAAAATATAACTATCTATCACTTTTTATAATTTTTCAATCGTAATATAACATTCGATCATTATTGAAGTAACTTTCTCGTATCCATAATCTTATAAATCTTTGTAAAAGGCAAAGGTTCATATGAACTTGTTTTCTTTATAAAGTAGATTAAGAAATTTCTTTTTGGGTCAAGATGTATATATGAGAATATGTATATATCATAAATGTTTATCTAACCATATTTAAGGTTTTTATTGATTCAGCTTAATATTATTGATATGAAGATTGAGCTTACTTCATCTTAATAAAAGATGGGGTGGCAATAACTCAAGTTATCAGACAAACACACATAGTACACTTTTTTTTAATGTTTATTTGGTACATGGAACTATTTTAAATTTCTAAGGATTTAAAGTTGCAACTGTCAAGTGCAACTTTGGGGGAGTAATACACGAGTTTGTATTACTTTAATTTGACATGAATTTGAACTTATGATAGTTTTCTTATTTGCATTTGTTTAATGAAATTCATTTACATTAAATATGTTATTTATATGTATTATTACAAATTAAAAGGTTGGTGTATATTAAAAATCTATTATTTATTTATTTTTTAAACAATTTGTGGCGGCGGTCATAAGGCTCCACACATGAGATTATGTAAATATTGATGATATCATATCACTGTAACTTTAAGCCCATGGAAATTACATTTTTGGAAACATTGATCATATTAGGGAGGTCATAATGATCATATATTAACTTTAAAAACCTCGATTAATTAAGAAATAATCTTGTATGTGGCCGTGACGGTTATTATGGAGGTTTTTTAAAATTGTCACGCAGTTCCTACTTTTTTGCTTTTCAATTTGTCCATTTTCATCATAACCATTGTACTTATAAAGATTGTCATCGATAACTCAATATGAAATTCAAGCACGAAATTTAAATCAACGTCAAGCACTTGAGACACCTTCAATAGAGACAAGTGTAGAGTGTAATAGCAATGTCACTCAAATTGCTAGTGAACCCATAAAACGACTCATTTGATAAAAAAACTTCACGAGGCAGGACACTTAATAGAAATCGTGTTATAGTTATATATCAATTCCTTATTTGGATTTTTGACAGAGATTGTGAGGTTCGATTGAAGTGAGAAGCATCATGTGTCGTTATACCTCTATATCAATAGGAATATTCGCCGAGCTTGTTTGAATTGTCTTAAAAATTGATCAAATCTATAAATTAATATGAAAAAACAATGTATACAAATACAAATAATAGTAATAAAGATGAATACAATTATAAGAGTGCTGAAAATAAAGTGTAAAGGTCATGTTTGCACTATAGGATGAAAGTAATTACATTAATATTATAATTTTTATTATACCATAAATTTTAATTTTTTTCTCATTTCCTCCTAAATATTACTGACTCTATCCCTTTTTATATGTCATTCTTTTCTATAAATAGTTGGTTCATAATACTTGTCATTTCATAAAATTAATACATAAATTATCATATTGTTCCTTTTTTACCCTTGTGAGTTATTAGCTTTGAAAATTAATATACATTTGGCCAACTTAGAAAAGCTAAGTAAATGATTCATGTTCGTTGGTTAAATTAATTAATCAAAATAAATCAATTCATATTCATTGATTGAAAACTTGAGTTCCAAAAAAATTAAATAAGGGTAGAAGGGTAAAGTTGCATCATTTCTTGATGCAAGTGCAAAGTAAAAAGGTGGCATACTCCCTCCATTCGATATTAATTGAATTTGAGGCATTTTCCATTTTTCAAATTAACTTAATTGTTCAGTTTTCAAGACTACTTTTAGAGTATTCTTCCAATTTTACCATTCATTTGGATTTTCAATCTGATGACTTCAATAAATTTGACAATAATTAATAAGGGTAAAAATAGAAAACTATGTTCAATTTATGTCTTAATCTATTTTTCTTAAAGGGTGTGAAACACCTCAAAAAATCAATTAATATGGAATGGAGGGAGTATAAAAAGGGACAGAGAGAGTATTACTTACTCCCTCTGTCCCTAATTATTTGTCCATTTTTTCTTTTTTGATTGTTTTTAATTACTTGTCCATTTTGACAAATCAAGAAAGGACAAAAAATATTTACCTATTATATCCTCAATTAGTTACTTTAAAAAAGATAGAATTTCTTGAAAATCTTAAGTTTTTAATTCATCCACTTCATAATTAATATGGATAAATTGATAATCTCATGACTATGTCATTTTTATTAATAAGTGTGTCAATTCAAAAATAGATAAATAATTAGGGACAAAGAAAATAATAAATATCACGTAATTTGAGGGGGAGAGAGCAAGTATTTATGTAGAGTTGAGAAATAATTTTAAAGTAGTTAGTACAGCAGTAATACTTCAACGTTGGTAGGGACAAATTGTGGCGTTCTTTTCTTATCAATAAAAATTTGTCAATCATTTATATCAAATCAATATATACATTTATTATACTTTCTTTGTCCCTAATTACTTGTTTATTTTCTAATTAACACACTTATTAAGAAAATAATTATTGACATAGTAAGTTTATTATTTTACCCCTACTAATTATGAAGTATATGAATTAAAAAGTTAAGGTTTTCAAAAAGTTCTATATTTTTCAAAGTAATTAAATGAGGGTATAATAGGTAAAAAAATTATCCTTTCTTGATTTGTCATAATGGACAAATAATTAGAAACAACTAAAAAAAAAAAAATTGACAAGTAAATAAGGATAGATAAAGCATGTATTTGCATGAAAATTTTTAGTACTTAATTACAATAGTATATTTAATGGAGTTTTACAATTTGGGTCTAGAGATGATACAGGGTATGCAGATTTTATCCTTTTCTTATAAGTATAGAAAAGTTATTTTCGAAAGATTCTCGATTTAAAAGTAGTAAATTCAAATACAAAGAATCAAAAAACATAGCAATTATCTCCTCTGTCCCTAATTACTTGTCCACTTTTGAATTGACACAATTATTGAGAAAATAATTAATGACATAGTGAGTTTATCATTTTACCCCTATTAATTATGAAGTGGATGAAAAATTCTACATTTTTCAAAATAATTAGTCATTTAATTGAGGATATAATAGGTAAAAATAATTTGTCATTCTTAATTTGTCAAAATGGACAAGTAATTAGGGACAACTATAAAAGGAAAAGTGGACAAGTAATTAGGGACAGAGGGAGTATTAGTTAAGGGAAGCAACAAGAAAGGAAGAAGAACATAAAATAGTGTGATAATCGAAACATAATAAACAAAAGATGGTGATAAATATCAAAAGCAAGAATTACGTTAATATAACTAGTACAAAAACAAATACGAAAAAGCTTAAAATCCTTGAAAAACAAAACGATATTCCACTGCCTACTAATCTTATACCCTGATACTTAATACATAATTAAATAAATTTACATACTTCATTAAATTATTTAATTAGAATAGATTAAATTAATTTGATATAAACACCAAATAGATTTCGGTGAAATAAAAAGGATATAATCAACACGAGCAATGAGTGAAGCGAAGAGACAACAGTGCGGTTTGGGCGGTTGAACTACGGACAAATGCTGCGAATATCACGTGACTATAATCTAGCCACAACCTCATTCATTTCAAAATTTCAAAAATATTTTCATTAATTATTACTATATTTTAA